ATATATATATATATATATATATATATATAGACTTCAGAACAACAGCATTATGATTTAATTACCATATATTTTCCAATAATGTAAAGGTAGGCACATAATAAACAGTTTGTTTGCATTGTGAATGGTATGCATGTTATTCAGATGCTTGGATCATAGTATGAATAAATAAACCCAAATTTGATGGGAGTTACATCTTAAGGTATATAAAGATACAAAGTGATAACAACAATAAACAACAAAAATGATCAAAAGAATTTGTACATCGAACGATAATACTCGAAATAAAATCTCTTTTTAGCTCCAAGCATACACACACATCGACATAAAACATTTTACTTTTGTTAGAAATAAAGCAAAACAATCTGCTACCGACCGATTCAAGAAATTTGCAAAAAAAAAAAAAAAAAAAAAAAAATATTCAAAAGTTTTTGTCAAAATTAATATATAATCTTATTTACACTCAATATTAATTATCAATACATTGCAAAATTACATATAATTCAATATAATTATTATTATTTTAATTGTCGAAATAGTATCTTAAGAGTAATGACAGCAAGATTTAGATCATCTTATTATATTATGTTTATCATAAAAATAAAAATACGATAGAGAGTAAAATGTAAATACAAGTGTTTTATATGTAGAATCTGAACGGCTACAGGTTAAATAAGTAAATGACAGATGACAGATGACAGATGACAGCTAGGCAAATATGACATGACTTTACAAGTTAGAACATATCGACACTGATCGACGCATACTACTACTACTTACTTTTCCACATATTCGATTAAGGCTAACTAACTAACTAGGTAGGTATGATTAAGAAGAAGGCAACAACAAATCGAAATAAAAGGATGAAAAGTTGACCACTGTGATGTATAGGGCAACGAGTAAGCTTGTCTTAAGAAAATGCAAATTAACCTTGGCGATTATTAAGCTAAGATTGAATTTAATTAAATTTCATAATCATTTTATCTATAGGCGACATGGCAGTAAGCGAGTGCGAGTGCGAGTGCGCGTGCCCGCGCCCGCGCCTTTCTAATTAAAATATATCGCGATCCTTCATGAAAAATCGTTTAACATAATTGAAAATTATGGAAGTTGTATGCACTGTCAGACTTTGTTAGGTTACACCAATTCACAAAGGGTTTAGATGCATAGAATGCAATAGAATGCAGAAGAGTAAAAAAATAAGCAAATCTTCTTTCAACTTAACCCCATTATCAAAATTACTGGAGATTTAGTAGTCATACTTCCGATACTATAGGACAAATAGATAGAAAGGTTAAAAAAAAAAAAAAAGAGAGAGAGAGAGAGAGAGAAATGCTTAGGGTAGCGATTATTATTAGCTTTAAAAAAAACTTATTGCGAATTACGAGTTATTACGGGGACCTATTCTCGTACTGGAATGCACAATGCTCGTTGGAGTAAAGTAAACAGATTATAATATCAATAAGTAAAAGGCAACAATTCCGCTATATGTAGTGCTGTTTGGGTGTACGTGTGCAAAACAATTTCAGTTAACTGTTTATTAGCTCGATTAATCAAAAACGTAACGACTTGTAACGTGATAGCTGTATTTCTAATTTATGGCAAACCAATGCGCAAAAGCATGCTTAAGCCACATGCATCTTATCGGAGCGGGATATGGTAAATCGTGCTATTGCATCTAATTGCCGAAGAAACATTTAAATTGTAATATTTTTGCGAATTTGATCAAATCGTAAAAGAAATAAATGCACAAATAAATCGACGATGAGAAAAGTTAAAACAGTTAACACGAAGTATTGTATACAACAATAAAGTCTCAGCCGATACGTTTTTGACTGATGTAGCTAAAAGTCCTGAATATTATATAAGTGCTTAAAATTAAAACTGAGATTACATTACGAGTGACAGAAGAACGAAATTTGTTTTCAATTTCTTCTTCTTTTCTTTTTGATTGGTCAGCTACAAAGAGGGGGAGAAAGAGATTGAAGAGATGTAAAAATATACAATAAACTTATAAATAAATTCAATATCTACTAATGTTTTGGTTTTGTTCTTAGGAGGCATTTGTCGCATCGCCTGATACCGATAACGCTGGGCGATAATAAACATTTGCGCCTTTAATGGGTAGTGGATGAGCCTCCGTGTTAAAGACCCATTCGTCTAACGGCAACAGCGAGTCATCAGAAAATAATAAATATAAATACTAAAAAAATAAATGAAATTCTCAAATTGTCGCCACGTGAAATAACTGATCTTGACCACGATCTCGATTTGCGTCATTTCATTCAATTGATCATTTTCGTACGCTTCTCCGTGAACTATTGCATTAACATAACAAAATTGCATTCACAATCCCTATATGTGTAACTGTCCAAAAAGTAGTGAGAGATAGAAGCGGCCGCAATCTAGTGGGTGTGTGTCCAATCCGATTGAACGTTCACTATAACGACGATCAAAGTGAACTTTACTGCTTAGAGATTCGAGCCCGCGAACACAGATTTGCGCACTGACTTTCTGATTAATATTTGCTATTAACTAAGAGTTACTGTTGCATACCTTACCTTATGGGTACATAGTTGGTTTTTTATTTGATTTACGACAATTCATTAAACATGTACCATGTAGCCATGTTTCAAACAGTTACTCATTAAACTACCAAAAGTAAGTCGACGTAGACTTTTAACTTGAATACGATCAAACGTCCAGTGCATATATTCCACTTAAGAAGTAAGTATTTTCTCTTGCAAGCTCGTCCAAGCGACATTGTCGAAAAATGATGTAAGCTTTTTTGGATTTTAACTGATGACTTTCCTATAATCACCACCGAAGAATGCGGATATATTGGATTGGAAGATAATTTGGTGAATATGGATTAGAAATGTTATCGCCGTTAGCAAGGAATCGTGATCTACTTATAATTACGCACGCAATAGATAAAACAAATCTTTTTGCCACTTACAAGAGATATTTTACTGATATGAAGCCCGATACAATTATTCTAAGTCCAGTTACAATGAAACAATGTCCATATTGGACAAAACGTTTTTTTTTTTTTTTTTGTGCATATGTTCACTTTTTCTTTTGGGGCGTACATAAATTTCCTACATTGTTTTTTTTTTGTAGTTTTGACGTGACGTAGAACGAGGCGTGGTTTTTCTTTTTAAATAATGAATAAATTTTATTACGATAATAGTAATTTTGATGCGTACCTTAAGAGTTTCAGCCAAAAAGAAGCTTTGCTGCACATCGTCTTTTTGAGGCACTTCCTGATAAACATTTTTAATACCCGAATAGCCGTGAGTGGTGCGGCAATGTTTTTCCAACGCCAGTACCACATCCCAACCCCAATCTCGATACTTTTGATCATGAGTTAAACGCCATAGAACAAAATAACTTTCCACAGTTTCAGGCCTTAGGATGTAATATTTTTCACTAGATTTCAAGGCACGAGCCTCGGCAGCTTCTCCAAACCTACATGTGCACGGAAATTGGATTGATTTTTTTTTTTTTTTTTTTTTTTCTTTTGCTCTTCTACTTCTTCTTCTTAAGCGAAAACACACTCACCGGAATGCCTCTGGTCCTAGACGTGTAGAGGAGCGTATATAGCTTTCATGGCAAGTATTGGTGATGCCTTTGCCAATTTCCATAAATTTCTCAGTGTTTTCACTTTGACGTGTATTAGCAGCCAGGGCAAAAATACCACCTATATTTTGCCACGTTATACGATTGTATTGAATAGATTGAAAATGAGTTTTAGCTTACCTGCGAAACAAGCTAAATGATCCATTTTATGTTCCAAGCGTTCGAATTTCAAATCTGATACATAGGTTAGACCATTTCGACTAGTTCGCACCATATGCGAGATAATGGCTAGCATGGCATCATCGAACATCTGTCGAGCCTCTTCATCAGCTTGACCAGACTGCAACCAAGCTTTTAGTAAGTATTCATAGAAACTGTCACCCAATGCGCCCAAAGACATGTGCACTAAAATAATATTTGAATTATTTTGATTTGTCCCTCCTTCAAAAATATTCAAAACTATTTTGATCACAGAAAGAAATATAAATTCTTATCTTATTTTCTAAGAAAAATGAATTATTGTTTGCCAGTCCTTTGAAATAAGCGCTTTTTTGCATTAAAGAAAAAAAAAAGCGCGAATTTATTCGAACGGTTGACATATAGATCCCGGGATTCACGTAAAGATTGACAAACATATCCAGGTTTCGTAAAATATAGCGAGCAAATACGACTTTTTCATTTCAACACTAAGTATTAGTTCAGTATGGTTTAGTGCATGTACTTGAATACAATAAGAAGCAGAGATATTGAATTTTTCTTTTTTTGTTAGCATTTTTTTTTTTTTTTTTTTTTTGACACTTAAGAAGATCAAGGTGACTAAACTATGTTAAAATTTTAACAATATCGAGACGAATGGTCCATTTAATTCTACTTACATTGTCCCCATTTGCCTGTTTTAGGATTTAAGAAATTCGGATACAAGCCTTTGGGTTTTTCAATTTCCTTCAATATCTGCCGTATGGTTTGTACCCGTTCCCTATATAATGGATTGCCAGTAATGTCGCTAAGATAGCTGAACTCTAAATGTAAAGTTCCAAATTCAGACAATATTGAGCTGCTGCCCGAAGCCCAACCATAATTCTTGCTCATTCCAGTTTTCGGATTTATCAAACTATGCGGTATACCCGTAGGCGTCTGAAAGGCCGGCAGCAATTTATCAGCCACTTGTTGAGCTTTCTCTTTGTACATTGCATCGCCGGTGAACGCGTACATAGTTAAAAGGCCTCCAATGAAACGTATATTCGTTTCGAATACCGACAATTCCGCGCTAACGTTATCCAAAGTAAACTTTCGTTCAATCCAATCTCGTCCCTCTTTATATTCCGTTTCCAAGCCCATAATATATAAAGTGTCGAGACCATCAATAATCGTGGCACCTAAATCACTTGCGCCAAATATGCTGCCTATATGTCCTCGTTGCGTCAATGGTCGCAACTCGTTTTTACCCCATGCATAAAGCTTGTAATTGTGCCAAGCGTGTTCCATCATCTAGAAATAGACAAAAAATACAAAAGAAATAATAATGAGAAATAGAGAATAAATGTACTGCATATGCTATAATATTTTTAGATGGGCATGGCTGATTTTTCCTATTTTTGTAGAATAATTTTGTGGAAATTTTATCGTACATCTGTTATAGTTTATCAGCAACGAGAGCAAGAGATACACGGAAAGCGAACGTGTTCTCAGTCTTGGTTGTGTAGGCCGCCCATTCTTTGATCGGTTTCGGTCGTTTTCAAACCTATTTTGCAAGTTTGGAAGCGATATCTTCATCTTTTTTGCGAACGGGCGAACTGTATTTAGTTGGGCAGGCGGACAAATGGGCAGACAACCACACGGACATGTATTCCGAATCTGCAAATGGTCAAGCAATTTATTTCCTTTATGGGATTTTGGAAGCTACTGCTTCTGCTTCTGCACAAAATTAAATTTTTGATATGCTATCATATTGGGTAGGCGTACTACAGCGAAGCTCATAGAATGTGTAGTCAACTTTTTATTCATTTATCTCTCTCTAGTTTACAAATAAAGATCAGATACTAATTTTTGATTGGTTTTGAAAGAGAATAGCGTTCTCACTTTACGCAATACTCTAGGCTCTCTAGGTTCTTCGATCGATTTGACCGAATTTTCAATGGCAACCTGCGTGCAAGAACTTCCAATGTTTTGACAAAGTCGATATTTAAAGTCCGATAGCTTTGCTGTTGCGGCCAGAAGAGAGGTCGCACAGACCAACAATCGGATATGTTTAAATCGATTCGAAATTTGAGGCTGATCAAGCATATATACGCTTTGTGGGGTTTCTGAAGCTTCCCTCTGGGCATTGCAAACGTTTTTTGTGATGAAATAAATTCACTTTCTTCCTTCTCCCTTCGGTCTTGGGTATAAAAAGTTCAAAATATTGCTGTTAATAAAATCAACATATGAAACAAATACTTATCGAGATTGTCTAAGAGTTTAGTATCAAAGTGATACACTGATTGATCCGTTAACAAGCTCATAATTAAAGAATGGATTTTCTATTTTTATATATATTATATTTGCTCGAGGGAATAGGGTATCAAATATTCGCTTGAAGGCGAATGAATATGAAATTTCATACTTTTTGTTGTATAGATTATACCGTACTTTTAAGTCTTAATTAAATAAAATATAAAACAAAGTCAATGAAGATGAGATGATAATCAACATTTATTTTGCTGCAACGAAGTCAATCATTTTATGCAGAGTCATGCAGATAGTCCAAGTAAATAAACATAAATCTTAATAGAGGTTTTGAATATTCATTCACCAACATTCACCATATGAAAATAATATATATTTGCACTGCAGAGTAAAAATGATAACAACTTATGACAGGCATTAACGAACTGCTGTAGGCGGCAGTAAGGCAAATATTTATTGAAATTTTCTAATATAAAAATATTATGATTATTTTATTATTTATAATAATAATGTTAATAATGTTTTGATTTTACCGCTAAGCCGATAACAATATGAAAAAATGTAGCAAAGTTTTTGGCGTTAAATCTTATGATATTCAAAAATAGAAGAAGTCGTATAACTTTATTAGGTCACAACTAAGTTGAGTAAGTCTATTCATAACAGGCGGAAAGGGCTTAATTTATTTGGCAATGTTGTTCGACTTTCTACATCATGTCAGTATTTTTATTGTATAAGTCGAAATTTACTGATAATGAAATCTAGTTTTAGATCTATTTCATGTTTAATTCATTTCAAGAGTAAAACAGAAGAAAAATTGTGGCCGTCTTTTGTTGAGGTTCTTAATATCCAAGACAAGCTGATGTACGATCTTTGGTTGCGGGCCAAAAAGAAATTGCATTAGATTGATAGTGTGCCGGTCCTGTACCACAAAACACATGCGATATAAAAGCCCGTAATTTCGTAAAGTAAGACTAGATTCATATTATCCATCTGCCTTGTACTCTTTGCTATTTTGTAATTGTGGGCAAAATGTTCGCCAGATTCAATTTGACCTCGAATTGAACACAACTTGAGAAGGTTGATGAAAAAGAGTCAGTGTTGGACGTTAAGTAATCAAAATGAGTAAAGCAAAGTCTATGTTCATTCCAATACCATCTAGTTACTGCATTTTGTGTAGGAATAAGTTTTGAGAGATTTTTTGTGCGTAGCAAAGTATTATACATCCTTAGCTACTGCCCTTCTCCCCATCTTTCAGGCAAAGTCGCGCCTTTTAAGGCTGTGTCAAAAAGAAACAGTATTTGGGTGTCGTCATAAGACTCGAAACGCTGATCGAGCAGACAATAAGTAATCTATCATATACAACCTGTCTCAATCGGAAGGAGTAACACCTGGGCGGATAATACATTCCAGGTTTTAAGTGCAAACATTTCCCAAGTTTTGCTATATAGGGAGTCTAGCTCCTTCTTACAAAAAGCTCACCATATCATGATTTCTTCCTTAGTGATAATTTAACTTAATTGCAAGAAACTTTAATACGCCGCGGCCAGCTGGGCCATCAAACTTATTCGGCCTTACCGGCGACGTTATTCGTTCGAATACCCTCTATTATAATTATTTAGGCTTCGGATGTCATAGCGCATCCACTATTCATCGCTCGTACGGAAAAGTACAATTTCCGGGACATTTGAATTTCGAAGAAACTATGCTGGGTATGCTTTAGTGTGACAATTGATACAGATTCGTTTAGCTTAAAGATGATGATGATTCAGCTTTCAAACGAAGCAGTCGCAGTTTTATTCTACACCCCATAGTATTAATTACTATCTCTGTTACCGAACCGGGTTGAACTAATTTTTAATCTCAACAGCGGTTTTTTTACGTCCATTATCGTTGGACCTGAAACGACGATAGTTTTTAATAAATTATGAAGAATTTTTTTTGTATTCTTTCAAACACTTCGGCACAACAGTCCAATGATGTCCAACAATAATTGCTATATACAGTAAGTAATATTTATTTTATTTCCGTAGCGTAAAGCATTTCAAATTTTGTTTGCCTCTTCTAAAACTCTATGGCGATTCCACTTTTAGTGCCTTATAGCGCATTTCATTTTTCATCATCAACTATTTATTTCGTAAATGAAGAGCAATAATAAGAGTCTGAAAATCATCGAAAAGTTTGATCATAATAAAGTTCTTTCATCCAGTAAGAGAATTAAATCTTGGAAGTGAAAAGAGCATTGATGAGCGCGAACTTACGACTACCACTTTATGCTAAGGGGTTAGTACATATATCAGGTAAAGAGAAGATGCGATTTCTTCTTGGAAAAATAAACAAAAAAAAAAAAATATGTTAAATTTTTTCGCAAAAAAAAAAAAACAAAAAAAAAACCCAAACAAAAATATTTCAATTTTTATTTTCTTTGCACAGAGTCAAATTCATAAATTTATTCATCTCATTAAGTATGTATGAATAGATGTAACAGAACATTGAGCAAAACAAAATGCAAGCACACAAAGTTTTATTTCAAAAAGCCCTGAGCTGCTGAATGGTTAAATGGGCTATGGTCAGTATTTCAAAGTCAGTTTGTAAGATTGTAGTAAAAAAGTGCAACGCACAATAATAGAGAAAATGTAAGAAATATGTACATTTTTGCCTTAGAACGAATCTTGAATACCCGCCACCTTAAAATAAATGAACCAAGCAGAAGCATTCAGATTTTTTTCTCTAAATTGTAAAAAAGAATATTAGATTGATTTTCTGATATCTTAACCTTTAGATGCAATGGACTGGTGCACAGCACATGTCGTCTTTATATTTTATTTTTTTTTATTTTCAGGGCCCAGTACACTATGCGATTTAATATTGAATTTAAATTTAAAAATTTTTGAAAATTTCTAAAATTTAAGAAACCTATGCTAATCAAGCTGATAGTCCTCCAGATTCAAATGGATATTTTGTAAGTGTTACCAGCGAAATGATAAAATGAAAGCCCTCTTAACCTTTGACGATGGCTATAAAGCCAAACAAGAACACTAACAAGCAAAACATAATTGAATGCCATCGACAAGAACATACATTGACAATGATTGCTTAATGTTAGCATTTACAGAAGAGAAATGTTAAATCGGAATAAGCATATAGCCGTGAAGCCATGAAGCCATGAAGCCATGAAGCCATGAAGAGGCAAATAAAAAAGAATGTAAAAATATCAATTTATTCTAACTAGGATACCGTAATTTTTCGTGCATGGAAAACATGCAGCCGATTTGTTCTTGCTTTGAAACGAATTATGAGAATTATCTTAATCGGGACTACTACTACTACTACTACTACTACTACTACTACTACTACTACTACTACTTTACCTTCTTAGGAACAAGTTTGTTGCATAAGGGAGCAAAGGGATTTTCTTATTTAAGATCTAACTGAATTGAAGATCACTAATTACCTGTTACCCAGTTATGCAACAGTAACAGTTATATTTTCGAACGTTGATTGGACCTGTGTACACTAGACGAGTGAATGTGAAAAGCTTATCTGTCTCTTTGGGATGCAAATGCTTGACTTTTCTAGTTATTGTAGAATAAAGTGCTCTTCGTACCACTGAATAGTAATTTGTAGGTTTACGTATCTACTCAGATCTACTTTGCGCGAGCTTATATTTAGAATGCTTCTGATTTCGTCCGCTCGGATGTTACGATTGAATTCTCTTCCCGTAAACATTTTGTCGGGCACGTAGGCTGGTAGCAGCGCAGAAATATGAAAAACCATAATTAAATATCGAGTAAAGTCTGTTCAACATGTGAGATCTTCTACTTGTCCGCTATAGAAGCTTGATAGAAGAGGGAAATCCATCCTATCCCGTATGCGTTTCAATCGCAAGAGAACACATTTCATATACCTGAAGGATTTGAACATCCCTTCTATAACAAATCTTACCAGCGCAAATTCTTCCCGACTGATCTACATAGCAATGTAGCTTCTTTACTGAAGAGTGTAAGCGGGAGACGATTTTGATTCGCTAAATATGCTGTTAAAGG